GAAATAAAGGCACCTGAGAAACAATAGTAGAGTTTATCCTCTATCTGTCACCTCCATGAACATGAGTTTCCTCCCTTATCAACACTGCATGTGCCTATCCATACCCTCACCCAGAGAGGAGCTACTACTACTTTTATTACTATTATAGCTACTAACAACAACAATAATTACAATAAAAATCCATAATAAACAAACCCATATATGCTCGGATATATCTTTCTGCCAAAGCTGCCTGAGCTCCACCGGCACATATGCACTTTACGCCAGCCGCCTGCCCGAGTTAGGCCCAAATGAATACACAGAAACTTGTATTAGGTTCAATGCTGCTGGGCCAATGACTAGGATTCCTCATCTGATAGCTCAGTCTTAACTATCATAAACCTATATATTTTATAGGTCTTATCTTATCGGATGTCTTAATGGCATCCCTCCTGCCGGTGGATCACATTGTGCCCCTGGAGCAGGAGCAGAGGGGAAAAAAGCCATTTCCTGTTTCCTCGCTTAGATATGAGTCTCCTGCCATGTCACTTCCTTCCTGGAACATCACTTCTCTACTACATTTCCCAGAATCCTCTTTGACTCCTAGTCCTAACTTGCTGTTTCATTGGCCAACCAGTATTTTATTCAATAATCAACAAGATAAACATACACAGTATGTTCCCCATCACAAATATGATAAAAGAAACAAATACACAACCAGAAGAAAAATAGCCGAAAACCGCACAAGAATCTCATTTATGTGATACACACAAATTCATACTCACAGCATTCTCACAACACAAAATCAGAAACTATGATATATAAATTAGGTAACTATAAAGTTAAATATGAAGCCAAAATGAAGCACTGTGAGACAGAGAATAACTAAAAAAGCCATTGAGTTCTTTTTGTGTTGTCATCTAATGGTGAACTCAGCCTTTAATAGAACCTTGTATATGCAGTGATATTTCAATGTAGAAATCTAATTTTTCATTTTCTTCCAGTCATCAAATAGAGATAACGTGATGTTAAGGTATGGGGGCTTGTGCTGATACTCTCCTGCTGGTACCCAATGGCCCTCACTCAGAGAACAGAGAGCTGTAACATTTGCATCCTCATTATTCAATCCTCCTACCTCAGAATTCCATCACCTACAATTGTATTCTCACTGCTTGAGAAAAAATTTGTTTACTCCTCCTTCTGTACAGCCTGTATTATTGGAGATTGTATTAGGGAAGATACTGGTCCATACTCCCATGGAAAGAACATTTCTATCAAAAAACCTATCTCTTTTATATTTTTCATGTTTTAGATTATTTTATTACATTTTCCCTTTCCTTTTCACCAAACACTTCCAAATACCAATTCATATTCTTTCAAATACATGACCTACCTTTTCACTAATTGATATTGCATACATTTACCTACATATATATTTTTACATATAAGCTGCTTTGTTCTTGTGATATTACTTTCATGTTTCTATTTAAGACTGAGTATTTAGACTTGCAATCTTCATTTATTATCTAGCATGTTCTCTCAGCAATTGTCTCTACCAGTCATTTCAGGGAGATCAACTCATGCAAGTTAATGCTGTTAAATTACTATTAGTTGTTTTTTAAGTCATGAATCATTTTCAATCATATTTATTACAAATAATTCTGTGGTTATTGTATGCCCTGTGTCAGTTGTTCTCAACTTTGGGAATACGGTAAACCATTAATAGTTTCTTATATAGTTGTGACCCCCAACTCATAACTTTGTTTGTATTGGTGCCTCACAACTGTAATTTTGCTACTGCACTTAATTACAACGTTAATATTTGTGTTTTTTATTGTCTTAGGTCTTGCTGTGTAATGGTGGTATGTCACCCAAATGGTTGCCAGCAAATACTCTCCTAGACTATTTCCTTACCCACTGGTATATTTTTTTAGTACACAAACTTTATGTAGAGAGACAACACAGCTACCTGGCTTAAGTAAAAATGTAACCTGAAATGGTATAAAGGAAGCATTTTCAGAACAGCTCCTTGAAGCAACAGAGTGTCTAATTAGACTGAGGTTCCACTACCTTTAGGCACTCTGGAAAAACTGGAAGTTGTCAAGTTTTAGGACTCTTAAGACAGATTCTGTATTCTTAGCTCCTGGGGTAATTCTTCTTTTAGGTTCTTGTTTTATTATTACGAGGGATGTGTAATCTATAGTGTCTGTCTACTGTACAGTTCATGACACTACTTTTTCACTGTAGACACCATCCTGTCAGCCTGCTATTGGCCCATTTTAAATACCTCATGTGTCTCCAGAATTGAAAATTTATTTTTATTTCATGGCAGACATTGCTGCTAAATATCTGCATGTCATGCCATAGATATTCATATCCTTATTAACTTTGGGATTCTTTTCTTTCAGTTATATAATTCACTCTCCCAGGCATTTAACCTCTCCTTGAGGAAAATCTACTTACTTTCTATACAAGTACTACTTGTTATAACCTTGAATCCTTAACTTCATGATTGTGTAGTGAAATATAATAGTGAATGTCGTAGTAGTAGGAGATTCATATCAAGAATGTGTGGAATATTAAGCAAAAAAAATCTATGTATGAATATGGAGTGAAGCATGTCCTCAACTTTTCTGGTAGATATAAAGAACCAGATTATCTCTAGGAAAAATACAGACACTATTCATTATGGTATCATACATAAATATGATAGTCCTTTAATGCACACCATTGCCAAATTGACCATCTCTATCTATTAAGTCTGAGTTGTGGTGAGCAGATTATTCTAAATGTGTAGTCTGTAGTTTTCCTAATGTACAATTCATCACACTACTTTTTCACTGTAGACACCACCCTCTGATCCTGCTACTGGCCCATTTTAAACACCTCACAGGTCTCAAGAATTGATAATATAATTTTATTTTGGTGAAAGACTTTGCTGTTAAATATCTGCAGGTCATTCCATAGATCTTCTTATCCTGATTAACTTTGGGAGTAGGGAAGCTTTTCTTTCATTTATATAATTCACTCGCCCCGGTTTAGGCCTCTCCTGGAGGAAAATACACTTATTTCTATACACCTACTACTTGCTATAACCTTGAATACTTAGCTTCATGATTTTCTAGTGAAAATTAATAGTGAATTTGGAAAGTAGTAGGAAATTCATAACAAGAATGTGTGGAGTATTAAGCAAAACATCTATGTATTGAATGTAGATGGCAGCATGTCCTTGACTTTTCTGGTAGAATTGTAAAAGCAAGTTTGGTTATCTGTGTCTAAAATCATTCCAAGACAGGTATGAAGTTCACATAACCAGCGATTGTGTCTAGGAAAAATACAGACTGTATTTTTTATGGTACCATACCAAAAAATGTGATAGTCACTTAATGCACACTTTTGCCAGATTGAACATCCCTGTCTATTAATTCTGAGTTGTAGTGAGCAGGTAATTCCAAATGTTATCTTTGACATTGTTAAATTTCTTTGCTGTGCAGGAGGTTTAAGTTATAGAACTGATGGTATGGGGAATTTCACTGGGACAGATTTGAAAGATAATCCTATATTAGATTGCTTACTGTTTTCCTGTACATAGAACAGCAAGCAGGGTGAGAAGAGTGTTGCCTGATTACAGAGCCTATCCCTCCCACCTATTTTATGCCAATATGCTCAAAGTCAACAAGGACTCAGAGAGGGCCTTGAGTGTATAGCCTGGTAAAAATGGGGGAATGGTGGCCCTATCTATGCCTTTGACAGGATAGAAATGCCATTCAAGCCAGGAAATACATTCTGCTGCAGCTTTTGCTTAATAGTGCTCAGCCTGCAGTAATTAAGTCGTCTATGTCATGTAATTATAAACAATAGCCTTATTGGTTTCCCAGAGATTATCTTGTTGGGATTATAAATAGGTCTGCTCTTTTGAACATAGTAAGCAGGAATGATAGGCATAGTTTGCATTTCTCTCCAAATAAAGGTTGTTGTATTTGTGCTAGTGGGGTCATAATCCAATATTACAGCTGGATTTTGGAAATCAATGATGTTTTTCTTGCTATGGGGGACATATCATATTGTAAGCAGACATTTTGGTCCCTAATATCAATTTCCAATTAGCTGAAAGTAACTTAAAATTAATTGTAAATATTTGGCTAATGGCTTGTGCGTGCATTTAGCTAGCTTCCAAAATTTAAATTAATTCAATTCTATTAATCTGTGTGCTGTCTTGAGGCTCCTTTATCTCATGTATTAACCCCCAAAATTACAGATCGGTGCCTCATGGTATCTCTCTGACTCCACTCTTCATGCCAGTACTCACATTTCCCCAAATCCTTCCCAGATATCTGCCAATCAGTATTTTAATAACAATGAGAGCAACATTCTTCACAGTGTATGGAAGGAATATTCCATGCCACCAAATATTTTGAAGCTAGGATTTTTTAGTGCAATGATGCAATCATTGCATAGGAAACATTTCCATGATGTTTTAAATGTACAATTATTTGGAGATAGTTGGTAAATCATGGAAAGTACAATGCTGTAATAACAATACAATGGCTTGTAAGCTAAAGCCATACTGGCAATTTTATCTATGTGAGACTTTAGATTATAGTGTTCTTTCTGTCTTCAGTATGCTGTGTCAGGCATGAGGTTTCATTGGATGCATGGATTCACCTCTGTGGCTGGGCCATCTGAGACATAAATTTCAGTGTAAAGCTGAAAGGCAGCCTGGATGCTACTACTGGTAATGAGATTGCAGAAGTGAGATCTCAGATGTATGCTGTGCATTGTAGCAAGGAAGGGATATGAGGATGGGATTTCGTGTTGACATCTTACATAGTGAGTGAATTGGATAAAGGTGGAAGAAAGGTGGTGTTGGATATTGTCTTGTCTGTTAGAGTATATGGAGAAAGTGCCCATATTATAACAATAATATAGAATATTCCCAGGGATCCCCAAAACTGGACCCTTTGGGAAAAACCATGCTGTAAATAGGAAGCAAGTGGTTTATGAAAACCAAGAGTTACCAGATGAGTGAGTACTGCTTATAATGTAATTAGACCCTATCCTAAGTGAGGTAATCCAGACCTGATTTACACTTTCTAAGTATTTAATCCTAAATGTTTTCTCTTTTATCTCAGGATCCCGATGAAGTGTCTCACAAGCCTGCTCATGGTATTCTCAGACTCAGTCACACAGGAACTGCTTCTGAGGAGGTTTCCCTGAAGATACAGCCAAAACAGCTTCCTGGTGGTATTATAAAACTTGTGCTTTTCCCTTTCTTTTAAATTGATAATCTGCAGTATATTAAACTGAATTACATTGTTTATGTTCCCTTACATTAGCATGCTTGTTGTCCATATTTTTAAATTTTGAAATCTTTATGTTATGTGTATGTTTACTATTTCTTTGGAAGTCACACATATTGTTCTTTCCAACTAGACATAGTTTATGTTTCTTGCCATAGAACCACCTACTACTCATTTCACCAGTATTTGCCCTGAATTCAATATCGAGAAAATCTTCCGTTAAGTGAACTCTACTTACTACTTTTTGGTTCTAATATTTGCAAAGTCGTGAAACTTTTATTAATCTAGGAATTTCCTTCTCTTTAAATTCCTAATATTCCATTTGTATACATGAACTGTTTTGTTGAGTCTTTTCTTCCTTTTGGATTAAACATTTTTTTTTAAAAAAACATAGCATTTTTTTACATGCATATGAAAGTTTATCATTGTCACCCCAGCTCTCCTAACTCACTCTACCCTCCCCTCACCCCATCTACCCACCACTCCTCAGGTAGGGTAGGGCCCCCAACCTGGGCTCTACCAAGTCCACCAAATCTTCCTGTGCTGGGCCTAGGTCCCTCCCCATGTGTTCAGAGACAGAGTGCATCCCTTCAAGTGGGATGGGCTCTC